TTTTTTTTTTTTTTTTTTTTGAGAGTCTCCCTCTGTTGCCCAGGTTGGGAGTACAGTGGTGCGATCTCGGCTCACTGCCACTTCTGCCTCCCAGGTTCAAGCAATTCAAGCAATTATCCTGCCTCAGCTTCCCCAGTAGCCAGGACTAACTGTGCCACTACACCCAGCTAATTTTTGTATTTTTTAGTGGAGACAGGGTTTCACTGTGTTGGCCAGGCTGGTCTCCTGGGCTCAAGCGATCCATCTGCCTCGCCCTCCCAAAGTGCTGGGATTTGCTGCCATGAGCCACTGGGCTTGGCCTGCCGCTGTCTTCTTGGTCCCAAAATGTGGAAAGCTGGAGCTGGGGATTCATTGGTTGGACCTCCGGATTTCCCTGCTCTGACACTGCCCTCTGTTTTCTCTGCAGTGAACACCGAGAGTGAGACAGCAGTGGTGAATGTCACCTATTCCAACCGGGAGCAGACCAGGCAGTGAGTGGGCTGGAAAGTGGGGCTGGGGGTGGTGGTGGGGGCTCTGGGGGGGATGGTAGGAGCTTGGTCCCTCTTTACTCAGGGGTCTAGGCAGGCTGGGGTCCCCACCGGGGGTTCTGATATTATAGCCCAAGTCAAACCCACACTCTTGCATAAAAGGTTTCTTCAGGGGGTTTCCGTCATGTCCTTTGTTTCAGGGATCTCAAAGGCTCAGAAATATCAGGATTGATAGCAAAAATACGTAGAAGGGAGGGATCCAAAGTCCTCCTAGAGAAGTGGGAAATCCCTTGCCGAGAAAAGGTCCACTGCTGATTGGTCTCTGGTTGCTCCAGCACCTTAGAGTCCTTTGCTGTGTTCAAGGCGCCATCTAGTGATAATAGCGAGGAACTTCGGGGTTCAAAAAGATTCCTCAACATTGGGATGCTGGAACAGACATTTTACTGCAGTGATGGTCGTGAACCTAGTTGGTGATAGCTGTAGGATCCTTTCATTCCCATCGCACCCACAATTTTAGCTCCTAGCCCTTTGGTTGAGCAATTTTGCTTCTCACCTGCATTTACAGACAGACTACACATTTTGCACATTATTCATTTATATTCATACCTGAGCCTGTTATAGGCTTTTCCCACATTTTGCTTTGGGCCTTCTTGCTTCTTCAACATGCTGCCTTCTCCAGTCTAATAATACTTTGTAAAATCCCATCTCTTCCTCAAATACCTACTGTTTTCTTTTAGATACCTCCTGGGTCCAGAATTTTCTAGAGGTTCCTGCTGCCTCTTGTGGCCACCAGGGCCCTTTGGCTTTAAAGCTCATGTCAATGTTTGCTCTCTCCTGCCTATTGTTGCCTTGTTCTTGGTTTTTGGGGACAAGTCTCACTCTTTCACCCAGGCTAACTGCAGTGACATGATATCGGCTCACTGCAACCTCAATCTCCTGGGCTTAAGCAATCTCCTGCCTCAGCCTCCTGAGTAGGTGGGACTACAGACATGCACCATTATGCCCTGTTCATCTTTGTATTTTTTGTAGAGATGAGGTTTCACCATGTTGCCCAAGCCGGTCTTGAACTCTTGGGCTCAGGTGATCTGTCTGCCTTGGCCTCCCAAAGTGCTGGGATTACAGGCTTGAGCCACCTCGCCTGGCCTTTGTTGCCTTGTTAACAAGCTCCTGAGTAGCTGGGACTACAGGCATGAACCATCATGCCCAGCTGTTTTTTAAAAAAAATTTATTTTTAATTTTTTTTTTTTTAATTAAGATGGGGTTTCACCATGATGGCCAGGCTGGTTTTGAACTCCTGACCCCAGGTGATCCACCCACCTCAGCCTCCCAAAGTGCTAGGATTACAGGCTTGAGCCACCATGCCCGGCTATTTTTAAAACTTAATTTAATTTTTTTTGAGATGAAGTCTCACTCTGTCACCCATGGTGGAGTGCAGTGGTACGATCTCTGCTCACCACCTTCCAGGTTCAAGTGATTCTCCTGCTTAGAGCTCCCAAGTAGCTGGGATTACAGGTGCGCACCACCACAGCTGGCTAATTTTTGTATTTTTAGTAGAGACGGGGTCTTGCCATGTTGACCAGGCTGGTCTCAAACTCTTGACCTCAATTGTGGCCCACCTCAGCTTCCCAAAGTACTGGGATTACAGGCATGAGCCACCGTGCCTGGCCACCTTGTTAACATTTCTAACCAGCATCAGCCTTGGGAATGGCTTATGCTTGTGCCCTCTCTTTATTCAGCCCCATTTTACAGGCATACCAAATATACTGAGACTCTAGTCTACAAGTGGTAAGCAAGCCGTTCTGTCTCTAATTCCTACATCTTTGCCACAGTTTAAAAAAAAAATTATTTTTTTGAGACAGAGTCTCTCCCTGTTGCCCAGGGTGGAGTGCGGTGTTCCGAACACAGTTCATTGCAGCTTCAACCTCCTGGGCTGAGACGATCCTCCTGCCTCAGCCTCTGAAGTAGCTGAGATAACAGGCATGCACCATCATGCTGGGCCAGTTAAAATTTTTTTTTATATTGAGATGGGAGTCTCACTCTGTTGCCCAGGCTAGTCTCAAACTCCTGGCCTCAGTAATCTTCCTACTTCAGCCTCCCAAAGTGCTGAAGCCTCCCAAAGTGCTATATCATGTTTTGCCAATTAAAGTTTTTTGTTGTTGTTTTTTGAGATGGAGTCTTGCCTAGGCAGGAGGGCAGTAGTGTGATCTTGGTTCACTGCAGCCTTCACCTCCTGGGTTTAAGTGATTCTCCTGCCTCAGCCTCCCGAGTAGTTGGGACTACGGGACTACAGGTGCCCGTTACCATGCCCGGAAATTGTGTGTGTGTGTGTGGTTTATTTTTATTTTTTTTTAGAGATGGGGCTTTACCATGTTGGTCAGGCTGGTCTCGAACTCTCGACCTCAGGTGATCTACCCATCTCGGCTTTCCAAAGTGCTGGGATTACAAGCATGAGCCACCACGCCGGGCCAATTTTTTGTATTTTTAAGTTGAGAAAAGGTTTTCCAACATTGGCCAGGACCTCAGGTGATCTGCCCACCTGAGCCTCCCCAAGTATTGATAGTCAGGCATGAGCCATTGCACCCAGACTTTTTTTTTTTAAATCTCATAATCTTTCAAAATTTGGTTGGGCTCAGTGGCTCATGCTTATAATTGCAGCACTTTGGGAGGCTGATGCAGGGTGGGTTGCATGAGCTCAGTAGTTCAAGACCAGCCTGGACAATGTGGCGAAATCCCATCTCTAAAAAAAAAATACAAAATATTTGCTGGGCATGGTAGCATATGGCCAGCAGGTTGAGGTGGGAGGATTGCTTGAGCCTAGGAGGTGGAGGCGGAGGTTGCAGTGAGCTGATTTCATGCCCCTGAATTCTAGCCTGGGTAGCAGAGTGAGACCCTGTCTCAAAACAAAACCAAACCAAAAAAATCCCCAACAAAACCAAAACCTTTAAAGATGGACTCCACAGAGGTGGATTCAACCAAAGGAGGTACCAGACTTAATAGGTGTAAAAACGACAAATCTCTTAATTTATTACTATTACATACTTTCACTTGTGATTGTCACATAAAATCCTGTGAAATAGGCAGTTTTGGCTGACATCGACAAAAATGATCATGAAGAAATGCAAGGGACCCAGAAAATCCTTAACCGTCTTGATTTTAAAACTTACATCAAAGCTACAGTAATCAAATTAGTGTGGTACTGGCATCAGGATAAACATACTGATCAACGGAATAGAATTCAGAGCCTAGAAATAAGCCTTTATGTTTATGATCCGTGGGTTTTTCTTATTTTCACACAAAGTGCTAAAAAGACAATTTATAAGGAAAGATAAGGTGTTTTCAACAAATGGCGCTGGGGCAATTTGATGATATCCACGTGACAAAAGATGAATTCGGACTTCTACCTTACACTGAACACAGAAATTAATTCAAAATGGATTACAGACATAAATATATTACCTGTAAGGTAGGCAGAGCACAAGTATCAAATTTCCCTTTACAGTTGATGAGACTTAGTTTTAGACTAGGTTGTAAGCTTCCTGCTTCACTTAACTAGTGAGCAATAGAACTGAGATTGGAATACTGGTGTCCTAACTCAGTTATCTTTGCCCTGGGAGCCTGTGCGTATGGGGCGCCGGGAGTGGGCAGCGGTCTGGGCCAGCAGCCTGCGGCTGGTTGGCTGGTTGGCTGAGACCGCGCAGCCTCTCTGCGCGCACGGGGCCCCAGCATGTGGCGCCTCCCTGAGGGCGTGCCCCTGCAGCAGTGGCGGTGGCTGGGGCACCATGGGTGGGCTGGGGCGCTTGCGCTGGGAATGGGGACGCCCTGCCCTCTGAGGTCGCCTCCAAGCCGCCATCCGTGCCATTTTTCGAACTGCTGGCCTTTTAAAAGTTACTGCAGGAAGCTGACCCGGGCCCCCGCCCTGACCACTTTGCTGGAGGTGAGCCAGATTCCAGCCAGGATACCTAGCAGCAGCTTGGTGGCAGGCTACAGGAAAATGGTCAAAAGCCCTAAATGGCTGGAAGGCAAGTCTAGGGGACAGATCTCTTTGCGGGAGGGCACAGGACTGCACGAGGCGGTTGTGGAGGCTCCAGGCTGGTCTCGGCCTGGTAATAATTTCACACCGCCAGCGGGTTTACTAACTCAGTTATCATGGCGGCCGCATCGTCCCTCTCGGTCAACTGGTGTAGGTTTGACCCGATGCGACTGGCGTAGAGCTTGGCAAGTATATAGCAGGTAGTAAATGGCTGCCAGGAGACTTAGTAATTTTGAAAGTTGGCTTTGTGTTGGGTTTGGGCTGTGGCATCTGCTGGTGGCACGTGGTATTAAGGTCAGTGCTTGCGGACCCCCTTGGGTTGGGGCAGGTTGTGAGATTGTGGCCCCAGAGTCAAGTGGGCGGTTAGGGGTTCCTGGAGACTGTGGAAGGAGAGGTAGCACAAAAGACAATGGGGTGTTCCAGCACATATACTAAAATTTGAACGGTACAGAGGTTAGCATGACTCCTGCGCAAAGGCGGCATGAAAATTTGTGAAGTGTTCCATCAACAAAAAGAAAGAAAGAAAAAGACATTGGGAACCGCAGAGGAACTAAAATTTCGAGACTGCATTTTTTTTTTCTTTTCGGTAAGACCAGAAGCTCATTAGAAGAGTTCCTCAATTGCTGCTTCTCCACCCGCTGCGATGGCACTTGACCCCGCATATAAATTTAACAACTTTCTGATGAGTTGCCCTGAAATTTGAAAAACAGTAGCTTAAGCAAAGACCACAGAAAGGAGAATTGAGATCAAAGAGGAGTGTGTGCCATGGCTGTGGAGAGGTTTCAGTTATGATTCATGAAATGTTGTGTAAACCATTTCAAGGAGTTTGAATTTTGTGTCAGAAACAAGGGGAAGACACTGCAAGCTTTTAAAGTAGCATCTCAGACATGTCGAAAAAGATGTTTTGATCCCTAAAATAATGAGGGAAAAGGCCAGAGAGAGGTGTTCTGAACAAGCTCAAGATTTCACCAAATATTGCAATAATTCTGGAATCTTGATGGAGGAAAATGCTGGAAAGAAAATTCTGCATTGAAAGAATGTCTAACTCCTCACTATAATGGTCCAGACTTTTATGAAGAATGCAAAATGGAATACCTGAAGGAAGGAAGAATTCAGAAAAACTGGAATTTCTGCAAAGAGAAGGCCTCAGAAGCTTTCCCATAAGCCTGTAGGCAAATATTCAAATGACATTTAGGATCTCTGACATTCATGGAAGTTATTTATAGTATAAGTCTCCTTAAATAGTGGACTCAGGAATGTGTGTATGCTTTATCTTAATTATGGAAATACTAATTTTTGTCTGAAATAAAGATCTTTTATTTAAAAAAAACTTTCATAATTAAGGTAAAGCAAACACACATTCTTGAGTCAATCGAATCTCACACTTCATTAGGATATGCCAGAGCAGGATTAACATTTGAATTCTACATGTATACGTTTCATTGTTCTTTGATCTTGGTTTCATCATCTCTAAATTTAGGATTAATTATGTAGTAGTTAGCAGTTGGTTTCTTCACCTTGTGGTAGGGATTTCTCAATCCAGAAAGTCTATGTGTCAGTTTCGTGGAGCCTCTTCAGGTCTGTGGTATGCTTTCCAGTTGGCATGGGAGTACTTCGAGATCAATGGCTTGCTCTTCCTTTTTAGGCTGGCAGAATTCTATACTGTCTATTGTACTGGAACCCCATTTCTCTGATTGTTCCAGCAGAAGGCGTTTGTGAACAATAAATCCCAACTAAGTGTTAGGGATCACTGTATTTATGTGCTTTTCCTTTGAAGTTGTTGATGCTATTTAGACTGGAAAGTTCTGGAAGATGAAGGTGGGGGTGGTGGGGCAGGTAGCTATCTCGTTTTCTTTCTTTCTTTTTTTTCTTTTTCGAGACGGAGTCTCTCTCTGTCACCAGGCTAGAGTGCAGTGGCCTGATCTCAGCTCACTGCAACCTCTGCCTCCAAGGTTCAAGCAATTCTCCTGCCTCAGCCTCCCAGGGGACTACAGGCGCGTGCCGCCATGCCTGGCTGATTTTTATATTTTTGGCTAGAGATAGGGTTTCACCACATTGGCCAGGATGGTCTTGATCTCTTGACCTTATGATTTGCCTGCCTTGGCCTTCCAAATTGCTGGGATTACAGGCGTGAGCCACCACACCCAGCCTCTCCTTTTCTTTAGTGTGTTCCAAGCTGTAATGTATTAGAGTGCTTTGACCAAGAGAGCATATGGTTTGATTGGCATGGATTGGAATGACCTGTAGGTTCTTACTCTGTCCCTAGAGCCATCATGAAGCTGAACGGCCATCAGTTGGAGAACCATGTCCTGAAGGTCTCCTACATCCCTGATGAGCAGATAGCACAGGGACCTGAGAATGGGCGCCGAGGAGGCTTTGGCTCCCGGGGTCAGCCCCGCCAGGGCTCACCTGTGGCAGCGGGGGCTCCAGCCAAGCAGCAGCAAGTGGACATCCCCCTTCGACTCCTGGTGCCCACCCAGTATGTGGGTGCCATCATTGGCAAGGAGGGGGCCACCATCCGCAACATCACAAAACAGACCCAGTCCAAGTGAGTCTTGGCTCCTAGGGAATGGAGGCTGGGTGCTAGAAAACAATGGTCAGTACCTAAAGAGGCCTCCTGGAAGCATGCTGGGGACATCAACATTTACCTTTTAGGAAATATTGCCTGGAGCATTCAAGGGGTCACTGCTTCCAATCCCAGCCTTGTGGGAAAGGGAGGTCAGATGGGCAGGGAGAGTGGGTCTGGGGTGCTGGGCCATACACTCTTATTAGCAAGAGGTTCTATAATTTCTCATGTTAAGTTCATAGAAAGTTTCCAGGCAAACCTCATTTTGATATGTCAGCCACTCCTCAGTGCTCTGTGATTTAATGACCGCTTAGTGTGGTAAGAGGGCTGGCCAACCTGTCCAAAGTCAGGACCCTCATAATTGTGTCCCATCTCCCATTCTGCCACAGCCACCTTCATTCTCTTTATAGCTGATCAGTGTACTCATCGGCAAAGAAAGGTCACATTATGTCCTTATCATAGTAAATCTTGTTATTTACTTTGAGTTTGAGGCACTGTCTTCTCTTTATATTTGTTTCAAGCAGAAATGCAGCTTTGGAGCCGTGGGCTGGTAATTCCCACTGCTGCATTTGTGTCATAGGCTGTGTTCTTCTCCCTAACCACCTTTTTTTAAAAAAAATTATTTTTATTTTTTTATTTTATTTTTTTTACTTTTTTGAGAGAGCCTCGCTCTGTTGCCCAAGCTGGAGTGCAATGGCATGATCTCAGTTCACTGCAACCCTGGCCTCCCAGGTTCAAGCAAGTCTTGTGCCTCAGCCTCCTGAGTAGCTGGGATTACAGGTGTGTACCATCACACCCAGCTAATTTTTTTCTATTTTTAGTAGAGACGGGGTTTTCCCTTGCTAGCCAGGCTGGTTTCAAACTCCTGGCCTCAAGTGATCTACCTGCCTCAGCCCCAAGACGTGCTGGGATTATAGCTGTAAGCTACTGTGCCTGGCCGCCAACCACCTCTGGATGGAGACATTGCTGGTCTAAGACAGAATCCAGAGTAACAGATGGGTCATGTTTCTCCAGTCCTCTCATTGCTCTTCCCAAATTTGTAGTTGCTTGACCTTGTTCCAAGAAGAGCAGTTTCTGTGCCTTTGACTGAGGAGTGGTGGTGGGGGGGCGGGAGCCTGAAGTACCGGTATCACAGGGGACAACTAACCAGACTTGTCCTTGTGACCCCCAGGATTGACGTGCATAGGAAGGAGAATGCGGGTGCAGCTGAAAAAGCCATCAGTGTGCACTCCACCCCCGAGGGCTGCTCCTCTGCCTGTAAGATGATCTTGGAGATTATGCATAAAGAGGCCAAGGACACCAAAACGTAAGGCTCTAGCTTTTTTCTTGGATCCTCAGGGGCTGCCAGTCCAGTTGAGCCTCCCCAACTCAACTTTTCATAGCAGTAATACAGACATACAGGAAATACAGTCAGCAATCGCACAAAAAGATGTGAACTGAGAAAATCTTCTTAACAGGGCTCTGTCACTTAGGCTGGGGTTTAGTGGCATGATTTCGCTTACTGCATCCTCTGCCTCAGCCTTCTGAGTAGCTAGGACAGCAGGCATGTGCCACCATGCCTGGCTAGATTTTTGCAATTTTTGTAGAGTTGGGAGTTTTGCCATATCACCCAGGCTGGTCTTGAACTTCTGGACTCAAGTGACCGTCCACCTTGGCCTCCCAAAGTGCTGGGATTACAGGTGTGTGCCACCACACCCCACCCCTTCTTACTCCTGTTGTATAACCTAAAAATTCTGTGCACTCACAGGTATGTGTATGCATGCCTACATGTGTGCACATGAGTTTTAGCTCAAAGAGAATCACACTGAACAGGCTGTTCTATACGTTTTTTCATTTTCTGTATCAGCACATATATTAGTACATATGGACAGACCTCATTGTTTTTATAGAGAATTCCACCGTATAGCTGTCCATAGTTGAGGTAATGAATCTCCTATTTCTTGATGGGTATTTAAATTGTTTTAAATTTTTCCTCATCAGAAAACAGTAATGGAAGGAATCTGCTTACAGATGCTTCTTTATACACGTGTGCTGTTTAAAATAGCTTTATTGGCTGGGCACAGTGGCTCATGCCTCTCATCCCGGCACCTTGGGAGGCTAGGAGTTCTAGACCAGCCTGAGCAGCATAGTGAAACCTCACCTCTACAAAAAATTGAAAAGTTACTTGGGTGTGGTGGACAATGCCTACAGTCCCAGGTACTGGGAAGGCTGAGAAGGGAGGATGGCTTGACCCTAGGAGGTCAAGGCTGTGATGAGCCTTGATAGTGTGCCAGTGTACTCCAGCCTGGGCTATAGAGTGAGACCCTGTCTGAAAAAATAAAATAAAATAAATTGGCTTTTTCTTTTTTCTTTTTTTGAGCAGTTCACTGCTAAAAATAAATTGGCTTTATTGATGTTCAATTCATATATAATTCACACATTTTTTAAGTATGCAGTTTGATAAGTTTTGAGATGTTTTACTTGGAAATGCCAAATGTGGGGGTCTGGAGTGGCATGGTAATTGAATTGAGTCTTCATGATGGCCACAATTGAAGGAGCTTTTGTCTTCTACTTCTTCCCTTGTCTTCCCAAGGGCTGATGAGGTACCCCTGAAGATCCTGGCCCATAATAATTTTGTGGGGCGTCTCATTGGCAAGGAAGGACGGAACCTGAAAAAGGTGGAGCAAGACACCGAAACAAAAATCACCATTTCTTCGTAAGGCTCTCTTCTGTTTCCCTATTTATGAGTGGGGGATGCATGCGGGCCAGGGTCAGTATTTCATCATGGAACCTTGACGTGTGCTCTTTTAAAATTGATGCTCCTTCTGCCTCTTGAAGAAAAATAGTCGAAGTGGTAAAGAGTATTTTAAAAATCTCTGTATGGACTGGATCTGCCCATTTCCACTGCCATATGGGGTGGGGGTGTTGTAGAGTGCTGCCTCTGTAGTCCATGTCCAACCACATCGCAGCCCTGTTTCCCTGTGGCTCCAGGACAGCCTGCAACTAGGAGCTAGGGACTCAGGGCTTTAGGCCTGTCAGTATGAGGAGTGACTTTGGCCCTTTTCTGTCTGTGGTGGGCTGCTGCTGCAAGCAGTGTACCTGTTCATTTCATCAGAGACTAGCCTGTGGGCAAAGTAGTTGCTCTTGTCCAAAAAGGTATAGAACATGGATTGTGTAGAATCAGTGGAGAAACTTGGCGGCACAATTCTCTTTCCTGTTTGACCAGCAACCATAATCTGTCTGTGATTGGATCCATTTGCTAACAGAGGGGTTTGAGCTGGGTGTAGTCATCTCCCTCCATCTTACCCCCGCCCTGGTTACAAACTAGGGACACCAAATACCGGAGATGGAGAGTTGTTTGCCGGAAGTTGAATAGCCTGCAGAAATCGTAGGCCTGTGACTCAGCTAGCCTCTTGTCTTTGTTCCTTCCGGGGCCTGGTCCTGGCCTGCCAGTGAAAGGACACGGCTCTGCTCTTCCTGCCAGGTTGCAGGACCTTACCCTCTACAACCCTGAGAGGACCATCACTGTGAAGGGGGCCATTGAGAATTGTTGCAGGGCTGAGCAGGAAATAATGAAGAAAGTTCGAGAGGCCTACGAGAATGATGTGGCCGCCATGAGCGTGAGTGCTGGGCTAGTATCCTCTGGTTATCCTTTCCTGAGTCTTAGCAATAGCAGCTTGTGGGGTATGGGGTGATGGATACGTGCCCTGTGCCATGTGGCCTTGAAGCTTTAGTTGATGCTTTTGGACCTTGGCAGTCAGAAATAGGTTTTTAAATTGTATTTAATTAGCAGGGATTCTTCACCTGGTTCCTAGGGTAGGGGTCCAATCTTGGGCTTTGAGTCCTGTGATTCCAAGTATGTGTACAATTTGTGTTTGTGTGCACTTTAGTGAAATGGGGAGGTCCATCATTTTCATCTGAATTTTATTTTATGTCTTTTTCATTTTGTTGAGACAGGGTCTTGCTCTGTTGCCCAGGTTGGAGCACAATGGCACGATCATAGCTTACTGCAGGCCTTGACCTCCTGGGCTCAAGGGATACTTCTGCCTCAGCCTCCCAAGTACCTAGGAGACTACAGGTGTGCACCACCATGCCCAGCTAATTTTTAAAAATTTTACTTTTTTGAGGCAGAGTCTTGCTGTGTCACCCAGGTTGGTCTTGAACTCCTGGGCTCAAGTGATTCTCCTGCCTTGGCCTCCCAAAGTACTAGGATTATAAGCATGAGCCACTGCATGCAGCTTATCTAATTTTTTAAAGGAGACTTGGGGTTGAGGTACAGACCGAAAATTTTTAGAACCGGAGTCCTAGAAGTCAAATGGAGCTCTGTTTCTGTACCTTCTTCTTATATAGGGGCATTATAGTAGAGTGTCATGAGTCTGTTGTCTGTCTCCAGCAGTCTAAACAGCCAGAGAGAAAGGACTTCTGAGGTTGTGTAACTGTTTGGCATTTCTGATTGCTGTTGCTAGCCCTTAGTCCAGTGAGAACATCATATCACTTAAAATTCCACACCCGAAGTGTGCAGGTGAGAGTGTATGAAAAACATAAAGTATGCTTTTGTGCAGAAGCATGTAATTTCATGTTTTTGGCTCATTTACTCTGGGGCTACTTGCCCTTCTGGTTCAGCCAGGGCCACACACAAGGGACTACCAGGCCCTGTCAGGGTATGCTGACTCCTCCTCCTCACCTTTCTTCCACAGCTTCAGTCTCACCTGATCCCTGGCCTGAACCTGGCTGCTGTAGGTCTTTTCCCAGCCTCGTCCAGCGCAGTCCCGCCACCTCCCAGCAGTGTTGCCGGGGCTGCTCCCTATAGCTCCTTTATGGTAGGTGGAAGCTCTTAATTACATGGGGACCCCTGGGCCCATCTGTAGCTTCCTTTAATAGGGGGGCCCAGCACCTTGTGGGAGTTGAATGCTTGGCAAATTTGCAGGCAGAGGGAAGGAAGGGCTCAGGGGCGTCCCTCCTCTCAATTGCTTCTAGCCATTGGCTCTGAGGCTCCCAAGTGTCTGCCTAGAATGCCGCCCAGGCACAGGCAGCAGTGTTCCCTCACTCTTTCCTGGCCTTTTCCCTTTACTCCTTCCTCGTTGAGCGAGGATGCAAGGCAGGGGAATGGAGGGTTTCTGGGCCCTGCTCCTTGGGCCCCCAGCTAATAACACCCTCTGTCCTGGCAGCAGGCTCCCGAGCAGGAGATGGTGCAGGTGTTTATTCCCGCCCAGGCGGTGGGCGCCATCATCGGCAAGAAGGGGCAGCACATCAAACAGCTTTCCCGGTTTGCCAGCGCCTCCATCAAGGTGATCTGCTCTGTGGGTCTTCCTGTTTCTGGAAAGGGAGGGGGCTCTGCTTCTATCACTCTATACTTTCTCCCAGATTCCCCGTACTCATTTGAGAATTCCATGTCTCGTGAGGGGCCTTTCCTCCATGGAATTGTAGTCCTCTTTGTTTTTGACTTTGCATGATCCCCATGGAATGGCTTCGGTGCTTCTGGGTTTTCAGGCTGGGTAGGGCAGGGTTATAACATAGAAAGAAAACTTAGGTTCTAACACAAATAGACTTGGGTTCAAATCCCAGACCCACTTTATCACCCCTTCCCCCAATACGCTATGTGATCCGAGCCTCACTTTCCTTATCAGTACAATATTATGAAGCTATGCAACCAAAGCCTTTGGCTCACATAGTTACACCAAGTGTTGATTATTTGTCACCTTCCCAGGCCAGTGTCTAGGGGAGAGAGAAGGGAGATCTGTCATAGTGAAACAAAGGTACTGTTAATTTTCACAAACTAAACCCAGTCGCTTCAGTTGTCTTAAAGGTGTTGGGCAGAAACCTTGATTGTTCTCCAGTGGAGGTGCAGTCACTGTCCTCTATCCGTTGGTCATTTTATTTGTGTCCTTACCTGTTGGCAAGACTCCACTGAAACCTCTCTGGGAGATCGGGAGATTGGTAGGTGGAGGGGGCAGGAGGTCCTACTTAGAAAATGTTGTCGAAGCCAGTCCTTCTAACTGACCACCTCTGTACTCCTAATAATTCTGGTGTGCAGGGGTGATGATGTGGGCTTCAGGGTCTTTGTTCTTCCTTTCCTAAGTCTTCAGAATGTAGTGCGAATAAGGGTGGTAAAGGGGAACTGGATGAAGTGGATATGGTGGGGGGTCTTCCCATAGCAGGTCCATCATTGATTAGTTTTTTTGCTCTTTAGATTGCACCACCTGAAACACCTGACTCCAAAGTTCGTATGGTTATCATTACTGGACCGCCGGAGGCCCAATTCAAGGTTTTGGTCTTTATTGTTTTCCAAGCTGAACATGGGAGGAATTGAGGTTGGGTATTTCCTCTGTGGTAGGAAAAAGGCTGGGGCAGTTTGCTGTTAGCCGTCAAGCCTCATCATACCTTTAAGCCTTCCCTGCAGGATAAAGGGCTGCAGAGCTATTTTCAAATTGACGTAAAACTCAATTTCTGTTGACTTCCACTTCCCTTTTTAAAGTCAACAGAAGAAGATGGGAAGGAAGGAAGTCTGAAGGCATCTTATTTGCACTCTGCCTTCATTTCTAAGGAAGGCCTTTGATGCCAGATTCTCTTCTTTTATGTCCCCACTAAATCCTAAGGCTCTCGAACTTCTGATCAGACAGCCAAAAAATGAACCATCTATTAGCTTAACTTAACCTATAGAGGACTGGGACAGCTCTCTGGGCCACTGGAGTGTCAGGCAGCCCTGCCCTCTGTGTGACTTGATTAGTTGCCATTTAGGGCCTTGAAATGCTGGTCAATGCCATGTCCAGATAAATGTAATCATCCCAGACCCCATAGGTCTGGTTTGTAGCTTGTGAATTACGTTCCTCTGGGAAATATTTTTTCCCTTGGGAAGTGTTTATTCGCTTACTCATAACTCATAATCTCCACCCAGGGTCTCCAGTGTGATAGCTAAGCAGAAGAAATGCTGACAAGCTGCCCACCTGCGCCTTGCCCTTCAGCTGTCTTAGATGGTTGGCCTGCCTAGGATGGGGAGGGCCTGTGGGCCAGAACTTGGGGGCTATACTTCCTTTTCCCCACTTTTCCTTTTTGTCACAGATACACATGATCCACTGATTAACAATTACCTCCTCTTCCCAGGCTCAGGGAAGAATCTATGGCAAACTCAAGGAGGAGAACTTCTTTGGTCCCAAGGAGGAAGTGAAGCTGGAAACCCACATACGGGTGCCAGCATCGGCAGCCGGCCGGGTCATTGGCAAAGGTGGCAAAACGGTGAGCTGGAGGGCCAGGTTGAAAGCCCTGGGCCTTGATCTCCAATCCCAGCAGCTCTCTCTGGGCTCCTGCGCTGCTCAACTTCAGTTCTCCTGATTTGTTCATTTGCTTGATTCTACTCCCCAAGCTCAGCTCCTGACTCTTCCAGTTTCTCCCCATTAGTCACCCTGGCCCCTCCCTCCAACCCCACCCATGCTTTTTTGATGGCATCCTGAGCTCCTCTCTGGCCACCCCCAGGTGAACGAGTTGCAGAATTTGACGGCAGCTGAGGTGGTAGTGCCAAGAGACCAGACCCCTGATGAGAACGACCAGGTCATTGTGAAAATCATCGGACATTTCTATGCCAGTCAGGTACATATGGTGCGCCCCCCACCCCATTTCGAGAGGGCTACAGGAGCCCAGGGAGCAGAGAAGCAGAGACTCCAGAGGTTGACTTGCATGACCTTGACAAATCCTGTGGCCTCAACCACATCTGCCTGCATCTGGGCTAGGTTGTTACCCTCTTTAAGATGCAGAAGTAGGATGCGTGGATGACTTATTCCCTCTGATTACTCTCTAGGGAAAGTGATTTGACAACTTTCATGTATATATATTGCATATAACATTACTACATATATTGTATATTGTAACACATATATATGTAATACGTTAAACATTAGTCCCTCCCTAGTCCCTTTCTGCACTGGTTAGGAAAGAAGATTGGTTTTGTTCATGGAATAATGATAACAGTACTAATACTCTGGATTGATTGCATTTTTGAAATGTAATCCCTCTGCTTTTCTCAGAATGGCTGTTCCCTCCCTGGTTTCTGCTCTTCCACCCTTCCCTTCCTTTCCCAGAACTCATCATCGCTGTCCAGCACTGGGACAGGCTCCAGAGCCTAGAAGGAAAGGCCAAATATCAGGTTCAAATTTTGCTGAACCTCAACAAGGCAGGCAAACAGGTGGTTGACAGCTAATGGTGTTTTCCTAAAACCTTAAACCTGTCAGTGTTAGAACTGGAAAGGAACTTTGGAGACTGTTGATCACAGTTCCTACAATTCATAGAGGATATCTGGATTTCAGCAGGCTTGTGGTCTGCTGGGGCTGCTAGAGCAATTGGAGCAAACTGGCTCTTGGATTTTTGGCTTTCAGTGCCGTGTGGTATATAGCATCAAGTATGAAGGTTTTGGAGTCAGGGAGCTTTGACCTCAAACTTCACATATATAGCCTTTCTGCTATGTGACCTTGGATAAGTAACTTTGTCTGATAATCCTTTGAGAAGTATTAATAAGATAGGTTTTAGTTACATCTCAATAATATATACTTATGTGTGTGTGTGTGTGTGTGTGTGTGTGTGTGTGTCTGTGTGTGTGTGTATATATATATATATATATATATAAAAAACAAAAAAATATTAACAAGAGCCTTAACAATAATATCTAAGACTTACAGGTACTTTTGATGTAAACCAGCACTGTTTTATGTGGTTTATGTATATTAACTCATTTAATTCCCACAACAGTTTCATTTTATAAACGAAGCTTAAGAGGATAAATGGGATCTTTAATTCAGCTATTTTGTTTTTTAAAGAGAGTAAATATATCCAAAGATGGACAAAGTCAGGATATATTAATATTACATACTGTAGCAATTTCAGCTGATCAGAATAAGAATTAAATGAAAAGCTATGTAAAAACATCAAGCCAGGGTTGATGAAGTTGGACCTCTTACTGATTTCCACATTATTTTCCCAACCTAGATCAACTTCCTTTTTTTTTTTTCTTTATGGAGATAGGGTCTTGCTCTTGTCTCCCAGGCTAGAGTGCAGTGGTGTGATCATGGCTCACTGCAACCTCTACCTCCCAGGCTCAAGTGATCCTCCCACCCTAGTTCCCACAAGTAGTTGGGACTACAGGCAGGCAGCACCACACCCAGCTAATTTTTGTATTTTTTTTTTGCAGTGATGAGGTTTCACCATGTGGCCCAGGCTGGTCTTGAACCTATGGGCTGAAGCGATCTAGTGATCTGACTGCCTCAGCTTCCCAAAGTGCTGGGATTACA